AATGCCTAAGGAATCAAATCATGAATCTCAAAGTGCTTCAAAAAGTGTAAAACACTACATAAATGAAAGATAATGCTACTGACATTAAGTTCTAGAAACCAGCAGACCTCAGTATAGCAGAATTATGTAATTTTGCCATTATATTCACCTGTGTTTAATATTTTTTGTTACATTAATATAAACTTCTAAAGGTCCTTATTAGAATGCTTTTCCCATACATATAGCATGTTTCATTATATCTGCAAAAGCTTGGGCATAATCTGCAAGCTATTAGAACAAGTACAGGAAATGTTATTATATACAAGGGAAAATAAAATGGATGTACTTTCTTTGTATCTGGATCAATATAAGAAAAACAAACTAAAAATGCCAGCCTAAACTATGGTCCATAATCTTATGGCAATATAGTTTATCAGGATTATCAGTTAGGATTTTAGAAGTTACTCTATCAGTTCTTGTTTGATATTTCATTTCCTTCTAGTGTAGTTCAAGTAGAAGCTAAGAAGGGCCGAGATTAGAGTATGGAAATGAGAGACTGGAAGAGAAGGAACAATGTAGGAGTGATGGCGAAAGTCCAAGATCAAGAGGGAAGGCATTTATTTAACTTGGTCTAAGCCTGGATGTATCATTTTTTATTTTTTATTTTTTTGGTACCGGGGATCCAACTTGGGTCCTTGCGCTTGCACAGCAGGTGGCGAAACCACTGAGCTAAATCCCTGGCTGGATGTATCATTTTTGATGTCTCTTTATTTCCCAAAACACCTAATAATGAGATGTAATCTCATTATAAGTTCAGAGCTTTAATTGCAAAACTGGGATTCCTATAAACTAGAAGACCAATACAACAATAGCTAACTTTTATTGAGTATTTACTATGTCAGCACTGACAAAGGAGGTAAAGTGTGGCAAAGCTGGCTGGGGAAATAAGTGGAACCTGTCAATTGTAAGATCCCAGGACAATACGAACTAATTGCCAGGACGCCATATGTGGAATTTCTCGTGGGCTCCCACAAGATGTGGATGACATATAAGGACACAAGTGTCAGGAGGGAGTCCGCTACTGTGACTCTTCAAGGTAGCCCACTCTGTCTTCTAGAACAGGGAGTACTTTTATTTTTCCTTTTAATCCTTTCCTCTTTTGTTTGGTCCAAGTTTGCTCCACAGAGGCAGTTTTTCCCTTACTCCTTCACCCCTCACTTTTCAAACAACCTTTTGGCAGTATTATTGGCGTGTCTCATCCAATTCTTTGTTCAAGGCAAGAAAGGCCTGGAAGAAACAAGTTTAAGTGGCAAGCCATGTCTAAAGGAACTGCCCGATAACAACACTGTTCTAAATGTTTTACATGGATTGACTCAGTTAATCAACAAAATAAGTCAATAATGTGGCTATTACTATTATCCTTAATATACAGGTAAACTCACAGAGCTAGTAAGTGATGAAATTTGGATGTGAGTTCTTTCCCTTATGTAGTAGTTCACTGCAGTGGTTTTCAAACTATGTTCAGCAGAATCTTTCAGCTCTGAGTTCTACTTTAAATATATTTTTAAATTCATGTTTAAAATTTCAGTAAAATAGGGCCGGGGATTTAGCTCAGTGGTTCCGGTGCCTGCCACGCAAGCGCAAGGACCTGAGTTCGATTCTTCATACCAAAACAAAACAAAAGTTTTTGACTGTGCTGTTTCACTGAAAAAAAATTTTTAGGGCCGAGGATTTAGCTCAGTGGTTTCGCTGCCTGCTATGCAAGCACAAGGACCCGAGTTCAATCCTCAGTGAGGGAGGCAGCGGCACCACTGAGCTAAATCCCCGGTCCTACTTTAAATTTTAAGGAGTCTATTTTCCAACATATTTAAGGTAAGGAATATGGGTTAGATATGATTTTAAATTTTTCCCTACTTGTTATGGGTGTGTCTAGATGTCCCCCGAAAAGCCTGTGGTCATAGGTGGGGCTTTTCAGAGGCTGGATCTAGAGTGTATGATGCTGGGATCAAGGGTGTGTGATTATTAAATCAGTTCACTGATTCACTTGGCATAGTTCAGGGTGTGGATAAATAGGAAGGCCCACTCTGGGTGGGAGTACTACCCACCCTAAGTGCATGTACCCTGAATAGGATATAAGGGACAGAAAGAGAGTTGCTGCTGTTTCTTCCTGCTTCTTTATTACTTTGCTGCCCTGCTGCCTTCTGCCCACCAGTTTCTCCTCTGCCACACCACTCTGCCTTGGAGTCAGACAACTATGAACCGAAACCTCTACAAACTGTGAGCCAAAAAACCTTTCTTCCTTTAACTTTGGTGTTGGGTATTCTGTAATGAAGACACTACTCTTCCTACTGTTTCCTATTATTCCCCTACCTTAAGCAACAGAATAAGTAAGTGAAGGGTACCCTGAGATGGCAAGGGAAATTTTAGAAGTCATCCCTACCACTCCACATCAGCCACACACCCTCACTGTTGCACTTGGGACCTTGTGCCCACAATCCCCTGCCATCCCTTGGTGCTGTATCAATCTTTCCACTTTAACTGGTCTTCATTTTTACTGGTTCCACTACTTCACTGACCATATACTGTACCATTTGCTACTGGCCAACCCATCAGCTCTTTCCATTATCCACTTTCACTTTTTAATCCAGCTGAAATTCCATGAACCATCACTACAACACACTTGGGCCCATAATCTAACACCTTGGTTGCTCTGTCATTTTCTTCCATGTATCTGGCAAACCCCAACCTTGAATGAAACTTTCTACTGGCTCTCACATTAGAAGTCTTAATGTTTTCTTATTTCCAAGAACATTGAAAAATTCACCTACCTCAGCTACACTAGTTCCAAAGGAGCTGAGCAATGCTAGACAAGGTAAACAGGGTAGACAGGTTATCGTCTTCTATGTTCATGGCCACTAACTTCCACAAGGCTTCAATGCTGCTAGACAACCCTACTCTGTTGGCATGCTCTCTGCACTTTTTTCAAGCATTTTCTACTTCTTTCAAACCTTGGACTACTGTTCAACCCATGTCTGTGGCCATTCAGAGCCAATGACTTTGCCTCCAAATTGGAGGAGTTATACTTATCCCATTCTTGCTTTCTTTCTTTTGAATGAGGAGCTTGCCATTTTCTATCGTCTAAGAACACTGTGCCATTACTTCTCTCTTCTACATATGTAATGGTTTCCTCTCTCAATTATATCTTTCCCATGTACTTTCAGTTTGTTAATCTACTGGGATTCTACCTAGTAACTTCTTTACAAAAAGTATTTCTGGCTGGGCATGGTGGCACAAGCCTGTGATCTCAGCACTTGGGAAGCTCAGGCAGGAAGATCACTCTAAATTCGAGGCCAGCCTGAGCTACACAGTGAGTTCAAAGCCACCCTGAACTACATAGCAAGACTCTCTTTCAAAAAAAAAAAGGTGGGGGGATTTCTGTTAGAACAATGAAACCCTTTTGCTCCAAAGCAAGTCTCAGAAAAGGAGTCACCACACATATAATTAGGATTTTAAAAATAACAGCAACAGTGATGAGCTGGATGTCACACATAGTTGCATAAATTATGTGGAATTGGCAACACTTTTAGAAAGAAAGCCCATAGTATCACCAAACCCTAAACCATCCTGATATTTTCTTATATGCATTACATTTAAGAGCTCTGCTAAAACTCTACAAGCAAGAAAAGTAGCAGAATTCCTCAGTGTTATTTTAATAACCAGTAAATCTGACAGCATGATTTTGTGTTACTAGATCTACACTGGGGGAGAGAGGGAGAAAGAAGAACAAATGTCCCAGCTAGTTACTTTTTTTTAAGCTAAAAATGTTGCAGGATAAATACAGAACCACCAGTAATACTTAAGAAGTAAGTTTGACAGCACAGCGATACATTTTTATAACGCAATATTCAGGGACAGAACTTAACAGTCCCACTCCCCAATGTTTCCTTCACTTGTACTGAAGAAGCAGTTAAAAACAAGATCATTTCTGAATTCTGAGCAGCTCTCCTAACAGCGTTTACATTAATTAAAGGTTTGGTCTCACAGGTCTGGGGGAGGAGAAATGGGAGAGAGCGTAGAGAGGGAAAGAGCAGGAGCAGAAGAGAGAAGTGGGGAGGGACCGAGACGTAAGGGACAGACCCCGACCCACACCAGGCTGTGCAGTGTTGCCAGCGCATTCACCTGGGACCCCCCTCAGGGAAAATGCCCGCCTCTTTCCCGAGGGCACCACCTCGCCTCTCCTGCATAGCGTTACAGCGGGCACTGCAACTGCAGCGGGGCTGCCCCCGTCGCTAACGGGTTATTTAATTTTGAACTACTATTAAGATCTCCATAGCGTTTTTGTGATGCACTGGAATGAAAGATGCACCATAAAATGAAGTTTATTATTAGTACTGTTATACCTCCCGGGCCGAAAATAGAGCAAAACTATAACCCCGTATATTTCAAAGGGAAAATCGGCAGCCACAGACGTCTCACCGCTAAGCGGGCAGGGAATGGGCGCGGGGCTCCGAGCCCGACCCCAGCCTCCACTCTCCCCTCCCAGCGCTCCCGGCCACAGCCTTTAACCCTGCCTCACAGGTCAGGCAGCACCGACGCCCGGCCCCGGTCAGCGGCCGCAGTGGCCTCGGGGGCCCGGGTCGGACTCGACTCTGCTCGGCCTCCCCTCGCCCTCCCCTCGCCCTCCCCTCGCCCGCCAGCTCTCCCGGCCCCCGCCGCGCTGCCGGCTTTCGAATTCCCTCGCAGCTTCCTCCGGATCGGTTTCCTCCTGTCTCCCACCTTGACTTTTTTTTTTTCTTTCGAAATCCAGAACAAAGCTCGTTCCTCCGCGGTCCCTCCAGCCAGCCCCAGGCCGGGCGACTCTGACTCGGCCCCTCCGGCGCAGCCCGGTCCCGCTCGGCTCCGTCCCCTCAGCCCTCAGCCCGCAGCCCGGCCGGGCGCTCCCCAAGGCCCGGCGCCCCCTCCTCCCGTTCCTCCCCGAGGACCCTCCCGTCCTCCCTCCACAGCCCGCGCCCGCCGCTCACCCGCGGACTCCCCGGTGTTGATCCAGTCCGGGTTGGCGATGCTGGCGATGGCAAAGATATCGGCGGCCAGAAAGAGACATCCTGAGATGATGGTCAGTTTATCCATCTCCCCGCCCCGCTCCCCCCACCCCCCGAGCCCCGCGCAGGCCGCGGCCTCACGCCTCCCGCCCCATGGGCCGCCGCCGGGGCCCGGAGACCCCGCGCCGCCGCCTCGCGCCCCCTCAGCCCCCGCGCGCCGCCCGCGCCCTCCGCGCGCCCGGGACCAGCAGCTGCCGTCCGCCCCGGAACTGCTCGGCCCCTGCCCGCCCCTCACCCGGAAGTGAAACTGCGGCGCCGGCGAGGCCGGCCCGGCCCCCAGCGCCCCCTCTTCCCGCGCTGCCCCAGACCCACGCGAGCCGAGACTCCACATCAGGCCTCCCCGCCTCTTCGTTTTCCTGCTGTCAGCAACTGTGTTGTTGTATTAATAACTGAGCGCAAAACACCCTCGGTCCTTGCGCTTTCCCAAAGGATAGTGGAAGGGGGATGAGGGGAAGCCACTGGTATTCCAGCAGGAGGCAGGGGTCCTGCTCACCTTTTGCTGTCCTGGTCTGTTACCTGGCTGTCAGCTCCCAGGATTGCCCCATTTGACGCCTACTTGCGTCAGGCACTGTAGGTCCCCGCGGTGCAAGAGTGGACAGAAGCAAGTTTGCGAAGCTTACGTTCTGCAAGGGAACGACAGACATATATTTAAAACCTGCCTTTAAGGATAATTTCAGGTGCTGATCCACGATTTGAAAGGGAGTCAACGTGATGGGGTTGGTGACACATAAGGATGGTGAGGGAGAGATACATTTCCTCAGACCAGTGGATCATAAAGATTGCCCTTACGAAGATCTGGTGCAAAACTATGCCCGACACAGGAAACAACAAGTGCACAGGCCATTAGGGAGGGTGCAGAGAAGAAATCTGCAGCAAAATGGACTGTGAGGGCAGAGGGTGGTATGAAAAGAGAAAGGCAAAGGCCAGATGGAGGTCTTTCGGGGACATGACAAAGAGTTTGGATTTTGCTCCAAGTGCAACAGAAAGACACTAGAAAGTTTTCAGCAGGAGAGTGACCCGATATTCAATCGTAAAGGTTTATAGTATAGGTTGTAGGGTGCGAAAATGAAAGCCGGGACACCAGTTACAAGCCAAGTGGTGCAAGGGAGAGAATTGTGGCCCTGGCTAGGGAAAGAGTAGTCAAGATGGAGAAAAACGGACGAGTTTGGGTATTTTGTAGAGAGAAGGACTTGCGGGCAACAGGGAAAAGGTCGAAAGGAAAAAGAGGACTCAGGAATGAGTCCTGAGCAACCAAGTGTTTGGTGATACTATTTACTGAGTTGGGGTGTGGGAAGCCTTAGGTTGGGTAAACAGGAAAAAAAGGTATTTGCATAATTTGTTAAAGCAATACAGATGATCTACCCATCTACGATTTCGCTGTCTAGTGAAGATTTTCTTTTCCTCCCTGGCTCATGGGCTAAGTCACCTTTGGCTCTTACTTTAAATCCAGCTCTCTCTCGGCTAGTTCTCTGTGCAGCAAATGAAGATGAGACAGTCATTTTCTCTTTCAACGCCACCTAGGTCGTCTCTAGAAGGACCTAGAAGAGTGACATCTGTCTCTATTTTTGGAATGCCTACATGTCCACAAAATGCAGCAGGTTTCAAATTCCACCAAATCCAACAGCCTTGCAGAAATGTGCAGTTATCAGTGGCACAATATAGATTATGGAAGGAAGGATTTGATTGCTAGTCTTAAGACTTTTCTGTCCAAACATTGGTCTGTTGGGGAAAGGACTTTTAAAATTATGTATATATATATATTTCCTCCACCACAGAAATTGACACAGGATAATTCATATATTCTAAGGATTCAGATATAATGCATATCATATCGCTGCATTAGGTCTTCATTTTCTTTTTCCTTTTATTTTAAAGTGCTGGAGGAGTTTGATAGAACTTTGATAATACTTTTGAATTATCTGTTTTTAAATTTCTTTTTAGTACATGTTTGTGATACTTAATAACTGTAATATCTTGGTGAATTAGTACATATTTATATTACATCTTGATTATTTTCACTCTTCTCCCCCCACCCGCCTTTCTGCTCTTGTCTGCTATTTTGATTGCCCACTAATAGAAGCCCTAACTATACAGAACTAAATACAGAACTAAATTCCCTATCTTTGTCCACTGAGATTCACTGCTAGCAAGCTGATGAAAATCCTAGGGTCAAATGTTAGAAACAGCTTGCAGTTATTCCACCTGCCACTGAGTGGAATGATTATGACTTGATTCTTGTGTTTAAAAGCTACAAGTATAAATTCTTCCTTTTATCCTGGCAGCACGTCCCAGAGACTCCTGTGTCTGTCTCTCCACAAAAAGGTTCTAGATCTCAGATTAAAGCACAAAAACAGGGGGCCGGGGATTTAGCTCAGTGGTTTCGCCTCCACTGAGGACGCAAGCACAAGGACCCAAGTACAATCCCTGGTACCAAAAAATAAATAAATAAATAAAGCACAAAAACAACTGGTTTTGAGCTAAAATAATCTAAAACATTTTTATCAGACCAATGGCTGTACATTACTGTAGAGAGTAGTGACTTAGCCCATCCCTTCCTACTAACTAGGATGGGGGTGTAATAAGCAGGAGCCAAATACATGGTTTACAGTGTATTTAATTCCTGTTTTTAGTCTCCCGTCATACTCTTGCCTCTTTTTTTTTTGCTTAAATTCTTTTATTGGTACATTTTAGGTATACAGTATGTTTACATTTATCACTGGGTGCTTGTACCTGAACATGATGTATCTTGGTTCTTATTTTTTCCCCATTACCTCTGTGCCCTTCACCCTTCCATCCTTCCCTATTTACATACTTTGTTTCCATCTGTTTTTTCTTTCTCATAATTTTTCCTTTCCATTCTTCCCTTTCCCCATCTCCTCTCACCACCCCTAACCCTTTGGACCTTTTCCTATTTCAAAGTATCAATTATTAGTCATTAATCTTTTTAGTCCTTATCTACACTCAGTTTCTCACTCTAGAGAAGCTATTCGGTATTTACATGTATGTCTTATTTATTTCAGTTAGGAGTATGGCCTCAATATGCATCCATTTAGCTATAAATGACTAGTTTCTCACTCTTTATGGCTGAATAGTACTCCATTTTATTAAAAAACCACATCTGCTTTATCCAGTTTCCAGTTGATGGGCACTTGGGCTGTTTCCAAACCTTAGCTATTACAAACTGTCCCACTATAAACATGGGTACACATATATCGCTGTGGTATGATGCTTTTAATTCTTTGAGGGAGA